TTGTCATATCTCTGTATTTCACTTAATCAATTTTACCATCTTGTTTGTATGTTATCTAGTTTGATATCACTTGTATCTTTTTCTCTCCAAAATGAAATGCTCTTTGGTTCTCTAATTTGGTGCGGTATAGGATGGAAATTTAAGAGTTTTGGAATGGCCTAGCATGGACATTATTCTCAATAAGGCTCAAGATGATTCTTCCATTAAGGACTTGAATTTCAGGTTTGCAATGGCAGTTACCTTTTTTAATTTTTCAGAGGTTAGGGTAGCATGTTAAACATCAATTTTCCTGCTAATCATGTTTTGCTTATGTCTATCCTTGTTTTCTGTCTTGCAGCTTGGACGGGAAATTTCTTGTCTCTTTGGGAAGTGGCCTTTGTAGGGTGTGGGATGTCACTTCATCAAAAGTTGTAACTTCTCTAGCTAAGGGAAATGTGAGCAAAGAATCCAAATTTGTACTTTTTTACTTTCTTGGAGCTTGATTTTTAAGTTATTACTGATGTGCAGCTGGGAAGACTGATCCAGATAGGCCACATAAACCCCAGTGTTTCTGACTTTAACAGTCAAAGGAAACCCAAGTAGGGAGTCAATATGATACAATTTGGAAGGTTTAGATATATGATTCATTTGGTCGGACCATCAGATCATGGTTTAATAAAGTTTATGTTGTATCTAGCAGACAAGAATTACTCTTGGGAGTGTCCAAGTTTTTCCAGTGATTCAACTCTACTGTTTGTCTGCAACCTCTCTCTTTGATTTTGAACTGATTGGTTTTTTATGTTGACTGTAGGATGAGGTTTTTGCCTTCTGTAGATTTTCTCAAATTAATCAGAATCAAGTCCTTTACATCGCTGCCGTAACAGGTAAATATTTTGAATCCATAAAAAGCTTGTCCTGAAAAGTGCCAATGGCATTTTCTTGTGAATTAATGTGATGAATTTTGTTTGAAATAGATAAAGGTGGAAGTATTTTGACGTGGAACACAACATCATGGAGGAGGACAAGCTCAAAGCGAGTAGTCCGGGAAGCAATCTCTGCATTCAATGTCTCAAATGATGGAAGGTTTCTTGCAGTGTAAGAGTTGCCTTGCATGTTGAAGTCAAATCATCTGTTTGAGAATACATTGTTTTGATCTCCCTGTCATATAATATATAAGATGGCTGTCCAAGTCCAAAGTGAAGTTGAGTCTGGGAAATTAATAGTAACTGCTTGTTAACTCAATCCTGCTACTTCTGGTCTCATTGTCTGGTTGTTTTTTCTTTTTTGAAAATATCTTGGTTGATTTTAGTTTATGGTATTGTGTTTTGTGATTTCCTGTAAATTAGATTTTTGCACTTGTGAAATTCCACAAATGTTTTTCTCTTAGAGAAGAAAATATCAACACAGTTGAAAATTTATTTATTTTTTTCTGGTTAATGTGCAGTGGAACAGTTGAAGGAGACATTTTGATCATAAATTCCAACAGTATGAGGGTTCAAACGACAGTTAGGAAAGCACACCTTGGTTTGGTTACAACAGTGACTTTCAGCCATGATTCAAGGTTTTATGCCAATAAATCTGCTTTGTAATTTATTCTTTTTTATGAACTCATTCTATTTTTATTCTCATTATTCTATCTGTAATTTTCCTTTCTAAGAATGATAGTGTTACTGAAGCATCAAAGTCTATGTACAGGGCATTGGTCTCTGCATCCCTAGACTCTAGTGCAAGGGTAACACTAATCAAGGATGAGAAGAAAAGTGGTATGTGCTCCCTCAACTATCTGTTTTATTAACTAAGACAAGATGGAGTTCATGTTGTCTGTTTGCCTGTGGCAACCCTCTTTATCCCTCATATTTGCCATCTAAAACTTGATTGGGTTCCCTTAAGAGACATATCTGTTCCAAGGTCGATTCACATAAGAGCATCCAAATGATTGATGTAGTTGAAGACAGGCTATGCTGCCAAATTGAAAATCAGTGGTTATCCAAAGGTTAATTTCATAGACATAGCCAAGTTGGCTAATTAACTATAGCCCAAGTAATGTTTTATGTGTTGTTAGGGGTGGATTACAGGCTGTCTATAGATTCAGTTGAAAAAGGAAAGTTGCATAAGAATAGAGAATGTGAAAAACACTTTAGGAAACCCAGATATAGCTATATATATACAGACGAACAGCTATATTGAACTTTGAGAAAACTTATTTGGGAAAATGCAGTCTTATGTTCTGTATATCTTTTTAATTTTGCAGGAGGGATGAGTTTGTTGTTTGTGATATTTATCATACTAGTTGCTATTGCTGCCTATTTCATGAAGGAAAAAGGAATTCTTCTTCTTGGCAAGTAACAAGGTTGGTACATGTGGAGTCTAAACTTCAAAATAGTTTTTGTTAGATATCAGGGTTGGGACTTGAGATGTGATATGAATCATGTACCTATTGCTTATGGCGGTTACTTGGATTTTGCATTTTTATATACACTGTGCAAACAATATCGTAATCTATGATATAAACTTTTTTCGTTGTTGATAACGTAGAATAATAACTGTATACTTTCTATGATAGGTTTTGCACACACTCACAGACACACTAAAGTGCTTATCAACTGGTCCTAATTTAGGGGAACCTACTAAGTGAAATGATGCCATTTCGCGACTGTAACGACAGCCCCTCGTTTCTGGGATTTTCTACTCTTCCATTTTCCATTCTTTTTCTTTGATTCTCTTCACTTCATATTCTTCTGCTTCGATTTTCCCATTACACTGTTATGATTCATTTTCCTAGTATTCCTCATTGCTTGGAGATGGTTCATATGTTCACGCTGATATTGGGATGATAGTTGCCTGTTTTGTCCCCTTCTATAGTCGCCTTCGTTTAAACATGAAAAAGTTGAAGTTATGGCTTGGTGGACACAGGTGTAGGGCATTTGAGATGTTTTGATAACAATATCACGGTGTGTATTGTATTACTCTAATTTTGCAAGTTTTGATAGGGATATGTCTCGTCTTTGAACGTTTTATTAGTCAATTCTAGGTATGCAATTGACGATGCCTCTTTTTCTTTTCATTTGTGCTGCGCCTGTTCTGTAAATTATGTATGTTAAATTTTAAGTTAATTTAACATTTATAGTTATTTGATTAAAAAAATCAATCTTAACACATGTAATAATGAGTGCAATTATTGTCATACAACAATATGTTAAGATTATATAAATTATGTTGGGTTTGTTTGGTCTAACTAATATTTTATGTTAAACATATGATTCTGATGTTTTAAAATATTAATTTTAATATATTAAATAATAAATGTCAACTTTTCCAATTAAATACAGTCAACATTTTTTAAAGTAATATGAAATTATTAATTAATAAATTTGAGTGGCCTTGCCAAGAACATGCCCATGGTAATAATGGGCTGCCACCAACTGTGCTCCCACTTCTGCACTAACCTCCATGTATCCCAACATCATATTCAAGTCCATTATGCCGGGGCATGAATTTGATTTCTCGTGTAGCGTATGAAGCCATAGGTAGAGATAAGTAAATTTTTGTTTTCTCATTTTCTCTCTCTTTTTTCTTTTTTTTTTGGTACTTCCTCGTTTCATTTTTAGTATATTTAATTTGATTTTTTGACTTTTTAGATATAAGTTTAAAAAATTAAACATATTATATAAATAATAATTAAATTGTTTTATCAAATAAAAATAAATTTCAATGTTTTTGGACCTGGTCCGACTTGACCGGTTGAACCGGATGCGGGCTTGAAAACGGGCCGATTGAAGGCTTCAGCCCATTTAGGTAAATGGCCCATTGAAACCTGTTGAAACTCGTCAAGCTTGTCGTGCCCGCTAAACTTGTGCGACCCGCTACAACTGGTCGAGTTGAAATTTTCACCATCTTTTTGTTTTTTGTTTTTTTTTGAGAAAAAGTAATTAGCAATGCATTAGGGAAACTGCCATACGACATCTACATCCAGATCTTATCCAAAAGGATAAGAGTAACAAACAAAGAAAAGAACAAACTGGAGAAGCAAAGCAGAGTAGACACAATGTATAGGAGGAAGGGGGGTGAAGTCACTCGAGCAACTTGTGGTCGACCGATCCAGCCATGGGACACCTTTCAATCTATTCCGGAGAGGGTGGTGCAAAAAAATCTCTAGGACGCCGCAGTAGAGATCCAGGCCGGTGGTGGCCAGATCTAGAAAATCAACAAGCACCTACCAATATCTGCAGGATAGAGCCGAGGGTCGCCTGATCTGAAAAACATAAACTATACAAGAACACAAAGCAAAACAAAACAACCAGAAAAACAGGAAAACCAAAAGGAGTCATTGGAAAGGGACCCAAAAGCTGACAGACTCGGAAGGGTTATCGGAGGAGGGAGCATAGGGCAGCTCCAACATGCTTGAGCGGCCGGGAAGCTCGACGGCTCAAGCATCAAAACCTTAGAAGCTCAAAGGCTTCCGAGCAAAACTAACGTAGTGTCGAAGAAGGGAGGTAGAAGCACGAGACAAGGGAGAGAAAAGGGGATCCACCATCTTTTTAAGTTTTTGTCTTTTTGACTTAAATTAAAATTTAAAACTTAAATTAAAAATCAATGATCGATTGAACTGATCGGGTGAATTGGTTCAATAATTGACTCGGACCCGGTGGTCAAAACGGGCCAGCCACCGCGCCAGGCTCAAAAACATTGATAAATTTACCTAACTTATATTCTTAGAGCACATATTAAGACTCATTAATTAGAGTATTTTTAATCAATTTTGCATAAATTTTCATATCATATTCACACATTTTAATTTAAATGTACTTTTTTATTTTATTTTATTTAGATCTTACATGAAATTTTATGCAATATTAATTACCAATAATACAATTAATAAGGTTTAAAAGCCCAGGTTAGAAAATCTTAATAAAAATACTCAACAAAAACTTCATTTAAAAAAATTCTTTTCAATTGTTGTTTATATAAGTTGTAAAATTTTTATTTAAAATTATATTTAAAAAGTCAGAAAATTAAAATAAAACTACCAAAAATAAATGAATGGCACATAAGTAAGACTAAGATAAAAAGACTCCGAGCAAGACCTAATGTCTAGGGTAGCACACCCCTTCTGCATTCCTTAGTATCAGAAGATTGAGATTAGCAGGTGTGTATCTAAAATAGGTGTGTATCTAAAATTGTTGTGCGTCGAGGAGCTTCATGATCCATGTTGACGAGATGATAAGCGGGGTAATTACCCTTCCTGACAGTGCGTCTAAGTTCACAAGAAAGAAAAGACTTCATAATTGTTCTGCAGTCAATCACTAGGGTGGATAGGATGGTCTTAGGAGACTGATTATTAATGACCTGCACAGCAGCCATGGAATCCATTTCTGGAGTCAAGTGTGTAATCCCAAGGCTGAGGCAGAGCCGTGCACCCTCGCGATGATCCCAAACCCCTGCAGTGAAGCTGGAAACGTTGCCAATATTCACCGTGAAGCCTTCTATTATCCAATTTCCATCTAAATCATGCATAAGAATTCCCGCACTTTCATGATTTGTTTGGATGTTCAGGCTGCTGTCGGTGTTGAGTTTGAAGTCGTTATCTGGAAAGGGGATCCACTTCACTAGCGCAACTTCGCTAGCTGCGCTTGAGGCGCAGCATGTATACTACAACCTTATCCAACAGACGCATCTTTTTGACAAGTAAAGATATCCAAATTTCCAATTGACCCATGACCACAGCCAGGATGGTAGGATAAAGCTTTGTTGTGCATTTTGGTTTTGATTTTTAAAATTCATATAATCAAAATTAACAATTGAGAACCAAAATTGAAAATTAAAAATAACAATACATTGGGGGGTAAAGTTTTAGAACTAATACAACTTCAAACTTAATCAACTTCTAAGATTTCTAAATTTTCAAAAACTAAAACTAAAAACTCAAAATCCCAACTATACTAAATGGAGAACATATAAATTTACCAATACAAAGAGCTTAACCTTAAATATGCATTACAAACCAGGCAAGAAATATCGCCCCCACATCCAAATGGTACCCACACATCAGCAATCCCAAATGCACAAGGACAACCACTTTCCACTTTCAACAAGCACATTAATATTTATCATTCAATCACATTTTATGAATCAGAAAATTAGCAGATAATGCATTTGTTACACAACCAATTCATAAAATTAAGAGCGTATTCACAGCTCAATCATGACTTTAAGTCATGGAAATCACCAACCAAACACTAAAAAATAAAGCATTTCAAAAACACAAAAAGATAGCATTGCATTCTGGTATGGAGATAAGCAACTCACACAGTATAAGAAGCAAATCTAATTCCAAGATAAGCATTATGGTGGCAGTAACAGTAGATCCAAAAATATCTCGTCCAAAAAAGATTCAAATATGTTCTTAAAAGATAAAAAAGAAAAAACAAAACTACATAAACCACAGATTCCACCTTAACAGCAACTATAAATCAAGTCGGAAAACAGCATTTTGGGAAAAATGAAGGCAGCCCACGAAATCAAAACCTGAGCTTCGTGAAGAACCACCTGTTCTTGCCAGTCTTGAACCTCTCCTCGAATCTGCTCTTGGTCTCCTTGCAAGCAGCCACCTTCTTGTCCTTACTCTGCAGAGCGTCCAGAGTAACCACATCCTTCAAGTCTACATCGAGGGTGTAGCGAGTGGGCATGAGGTGCTGGTAGTTGACAAGCTTGACGAAGCACTTCACGCGGGACTTCTTTGCGGTCTTCTTGGCAGAGTCCTTCCGGATGACCTTGCTAGGGTACTTCTTTATTCCAGCAACCAAGCAGTGGCCGTAGGGGCGATCACGAGTGCCGTCGTCAAAGGACTTGATGATGACGGCCTTGCGACCGGCGTAGCGACCTTGAAGTACGATGACGGCCTTGTTTGGCTTCAGGAACTTCACCATTTTTCTCTCACCAGTGGCGGCTCCGCTTCTACTCTATCACCGAAACCCTAGGCGCGTTTTGGCCAAGGAAAGGAAAACGGTGTATATATAGCTGCAAGAGATCGAAACCCTAGCCGTAGATGGGTATATGATGGAGGCTTTCCTTCGGTATAGAGTTGGGCCTAAAAAGATGTCCACTTTAATCTTTATTCTCTTCTCATCTTGGGTTGGCCTGGGCTTCGAAGTTTTCATCTTGATTCAAGACTATAAGTCCACATATGGATGGCTATAAAAAATAGGTCCACATATCACACACACATTATGTAGGACTGAGCATTGGTTATGGGTAGACGTCTTACCTGTAGGTATTTGACTCGTTTGAGTAAGTGTTATCCATGAACTATGAAAAAATCAGGTAAGTAGTAAGTATAAAAAGAGAATATCCACCGAAACAATTTGTTGATTTAAATGGAAGAAACTTAATTCTCTTTAAGTAAGATATTGAGTTCGAATCTTAAAAATAGAGAAACAAACACTAAGAGAGTTTTTTTTTCAGCACGGCTTAATTTCAAATTAATCAAATCCAATGGGATTACTGGATATTGAAAGATTAATACCAAAAAAAAGAAAGAAAAAAGAAATGAAAAGAGAATACCCACATATAACAAATTAACTATTAAATATAAGGGTTAAAAGTAGTTTATCCAGTCTATTGACCTAATTTATTTAATTGAATTGTTAACTGTATATACGTAACATTTTTATTGTATGAAACTAAATTAATATCCATCTAATAATAATTGCTATTATTTTTAAAATTAAAAACAAATTAGGATTGTCTTTCTAATTTTGTAGGTATAATTTTATATTCTTTTATTTGTGTTTGTGAAGGGATTTTGCTTAATTTCTCTCTTTTAATGATTTAATTTATTTCATTTTGCATTTTTATTTGGTTTTGCAAGTAACTTAGTTTAAATTTTCTTAAAATGTATTTACTTTATTTAATTATATTTTAATTTGCTACATAAAAACCTATTTTAATTTGGATCTTAATTTGGAGTGGAATATTTCAACAGGTATGCAGGTATACCTGCAAGTTATCAATACTCAATGGATTAGAAACCAAGTATATATCTTTAGGTAGTAGTTGGGTAATTTTCAAGTCTAAAAAAGATAAACAAAAAAAACTTTTAAGTATCAAATCAATTTGGCTTTAGAGGAACCAAAAATATTTTAAAAGATGAATTGGACAGCCAGGATAAGTTAGTGGAATTGGTAAAGCTTACATCCTTTCACTGGAGTAGAGCCATGAAAAAACTAGATTTATGCCTAGAAAAGTGGTGCAATACTTCTAAGGAAGTTATGTAGGAATGGATTAAGGGTAGAAAATGGCATGATTTTTAAGAAAGTTCATGGTGCGTTTTGGTAACTTTTGATGGACAAAGATTCATGAGTGCCTTTTTGTAGTTTGAATTGTTTTTTTTTACAGTTTGAACTATATCAAACTGTAAAATAGAGATAATTAGATAGGAGGTAAAGCCTTTAATATCAAGAATTTACCCCTATCCAATAATTATAGTTGTACAGTTTAATACAATTTTTACCACACAACATTTTTTTTAAAGATTCATTAGATCATGTATTGAAATAGTTCAATTTTTGCAACAGTTAAGAGTACATCTTATACTCTACATCAATAATAATTTATCTTTGCTGACCAACAAAAAAAATTCAAGTGTCAAATATAACTCTTACCCAACTTATACCCAAAATGCTGACCCTAACACAAAAAAAAGAGCAACAATATTGTGCCCAAATTTACTCATATATAGAGTTGCATTCAACAGGCGAATCACATCTACTCGCCGAGGCCCATAGATTAAACTCCTTTGTGCACACGGGATTGGGCCGTACTTGGTCTTGTAGAGCACTCTTCCTGTGCATATTCGCCTCCCATGCCCATCCACGTTCTCCAAATAATTGTTGACACTTAATAATAATAATAATTCCCGTAATATATTTACCACCTACTAATTGTTAAATTTCAACTAATATATCAAATAGGCTAGCTCTACATCTTTCTAATGGGCCATAGAACAGAGGAGGATATGCCCCCATGGGATCCCTCATAATCACTCCCATGTCCCATCCTTGTCCAACGATCCTTTAAACTTCAAGCAATTTTCATGTGAAATGGACATGGCTTTTCATCCTTGTCCAAGCTCCTTTAGCAAAGACGGCCCCAGTAAACTTCAAGCAATTTTCATATGGCTTTCCATTGCTTCACACTTTCTAGACCCTAAGAATAGCATAATCCACACTATTTAGTCTAATATAAATATATATTGAAATAAAATGCACAAATTTGTGAGACCAACTTCAATATGATATTTGCATATTCTAGAAAAGTCATTGGTAAGTGTATTGAAACCAAATTCAATATGACATATATTTCCATAATCTTAAAAACAAGAAGAAAAAACACACACACACAATAACAAAGGTGCTTGGAACACATGCGGCTGGAGCTGCCCATTATGAAATGTCTAGGACAATCACCCATTTTTAAGATCAGAACAAAAGATCATCAGAAGCACTGGGAACAGTGCTTATTTTCGCAGGGTAGGTAACAGACATCCATATCCACTTCACTGAAATTTATGCTGTGAATGTTTCTGGAACAACCATGGCTAGCTTAGCTTTTTACTAAACAATTTGTTGTGGTGTTGTCAGTTTGGCCATATTTTTGTCTGCTGCTCTGTTTTATTCCCACAATAAAAGAATGAGGATGGGATGTATTCTGAAGTGTGCAGAATTCTTGTGTTTTGAATAATCGGGTGGCTTTCCTCTATTCTTTGTATCTCGTCTTTCACAGTCACGTCCAAAGCTTGATCCTACTTTATAATATTCAACCCCCAGCAGGCATTTCAAATTTTCAATTGGTTAGTTTTTCCTTAACTACAATGTAGAACAATATCCTTCAGTCCTAAAAGCTATGATTTTTTAAATTTAAAATTTATATTAAATTAATTATTATTTTTTAAAAATTTTAATAAAAACAAATAATTTTTTCTTACTTTAACACTGTTATTATTCCCTTAACTTTGATTATATACTCAATCACTAAAATTTTTTATATATCATATCTCTTTATTAAAGGTAACATAAGTAAATAAATACATAAATTATCTTAAATTTTTAATTAGTGAAATAAATCAAATAACAATAATTATTTTTTGGACTAAGGAAGCCGTGACTAATCCCCAAAAAATGATCTATTGTTTAATTTGTTCACTCGTGTGCTACAACAAAAACACTCTTTAGCAAGAGTACATATCATCGTTAATAGCAACAATTCTAGTTGTTAAAATGGAAATAATGATTGGTTGTCCCATCTGTCGTTGTATGCTTGGTGGTTAAAAGTTTTCAACGACAGAGGCATTATGATTGTTATTAAAGCTAAACACCATCCTGTAGTTAAAATTTCATGTCCATATCCACAAAATGAGATTTTAGTGAAGGTAATCCCACCGTTAAACATAAAATTTTTTTTAAATTAAAAAAATAGTAACCATCCACTAATTGTTTTTAATAACAGAGGTCGCCTATTGTTGGAAGTCATTATTATATTAACAAAATAATTCATTGAGATTATTTAGTTGTTGGAGGTCATAAGTCTAACGATAGTATCACATTTGGAAAAGTCAAATTGCCAAAAAGATAAATCAAATTACAATATCTTGATTAGGAAAAAATCATACAGTAACAATACAAACCATAATTTCTCATGCTAATATATATTAAAACATTCAAAAATGTTTAATCTTATATCCAAGAGTCTCTCCAAAAGCAATAATGAGTATGACACAAATTCTGTCTTTGAACAAAAAGTACCAAAAGAGCCACAGTCATAAACCCAAATACAAATTGATGCCCTTAAAATTTCTTCCACCTAGAAATGAAAAATGCAAAACTGCTATTAATACTTGAAAAAGCTAACAATGCGAAACTTAGTAAATTATGATAATTCGCCTTGCTTGTCTAATACTCTAATGTAATAAAATTTAGTTTTCCTAGCCTCCAAATGAACCTCCTCTATTAGCCCGTCAATCTCCTGCAAAAGTTAACATCAAACATGAAACAAAGTACTTAGACAATCTTCAAAAAAAAAAAAAAAAAAGAACTGATAAGATGCAGGGCCAAATAGCAAACAAAGTTAAGGGAACAAAACAAACCACACATAAACTTCAAATGACAAATTTTCAATAACTATTAGCTTAAACTCACAAAGCAAATGGAATTAAGGACATATTTGGAAACAAACAGATTATGAAATACAAAAATAACACTACTTAGCTCTAAGAACTGGAATAAATTTGCTTTGTAGCTAGTTTTTTCATTCCAAACTTTTCTTAAATCAACTCTCCTTCCTTTTGAGTCAATTTGATTGATAAGACCTTTACCTAGTTATTTGAAAAATTGTGACGTATGATAGCAAATGTGAAAAATTATGGATCATCCATGGGAAACTACTTTCAGTTAAAATATGCTTGCATGAGCAAGTATAGACACAAACCAAAACATTCATATTCCACTAGGCAACAAAATTTGGTTCACTCTAATGGAGAAAAAAAATTAATAATATGAAATGAGATGTATGATTCATAACAGAAATAATGGAGGAAAATATATGTTCAACAAGCAAAACAACTAACCTTCAATACCAAGAAGCTGATTTGAGACATGGCACCACTTCTCTAAATTATGACTTGTTCAGAGTTTAGTTGTGTGCTTTTTACTACTAGAATAGAGGTTATGCCAAAGGAAAGACATAGCACATAATGGAACTCAAAGGCATAAATTAAAGACCAATTTCCATATAGTGCACAATATTTCTACTTTTCTTTTGTTTCTAGTCACTAGCAATCTCCACCTCACTGTGTAGGTTATGGGACCATTTGTTGAAATTGATTAAAAATTGATAATTTTTAATGATAATTGAAAATTGAGTTAATATACCATAAAAAAAATTTGCATATAATATACCTTGAAACAAAGAAAAAAATACTAGTTACCACCTGCAAATCGAGAGAGAAGGAAATTAGGAAATTAAACATCATTTGATTCCATGAGTCATAAATCTCAAAGCCAGCATTTTTAATAGCATTGTCAGAACTCAGAAGTACCTGCCGTTCCCTTAGTTTTCATACTTCATACACAAGTGCCACAAAAAAGAAAAGGCAATAGTACTAGTATCACTCATGAACTTGATTTAAATGATTAGTTGATGGTATACATATAGTTCAAGATTGTTTTAAAGTGAGAAAATCAGAAAGCAAGCAATCGAAACTACCAATTTTGTAATAACAAAATCTAATAAAAAAAATCCAACCAAATAAATGGCATGCAATCATTTTTTGATATGGTATGTCAAAATTGATAGATTCTACTCTAACAAAATCAAGATATAACAAGCAATTTATTCTTGAAATTGAAGAAAAAGTCAAAATTATCTCTAAATCAAGCCAATAAATTTGAATCACGTGAGGAAATTGAGGCTACAAAAAGGGAAATTTCAGCTAAGAGGAAATCAACTAGCAATGCTTGAGCCACATGAGAAAAAAGAGGCTTTGGTGAGGGAGGTGATCACAACAATTGCAAGTTACCAGCGACAACGGGCATTCACAGCAGTGGGTACAAACATGGTTGAGTGTTGGAGGATAGAGAGGATAAGGAGGAAGAGGAAAAGGGAATCATTGGCAGGGTACCGGTCACAACAGGTGTTGATGGAGGTGGTTATATGGCTAGATCAGGTGTTGGTGAGCAGAGAAGGGGAAGATGCAATAAAAATGAAGGAAAGAGGGAGGGAGAGGAAATACGAATTGTTGGAACCTCTAACCCTAGATCCAAAACGATGAAGATGAAAAAGAAGCCAAGATCTATAGCTTCTTTGCAAACAGGTTTTAAGAGAAGAATTCTAGGTGGCTGAAGAGATGAGAGGAAGAGTACACTTTTTTCAATACAAATTTGGATAAGGGAGTAGAAAGTAGATGAGAATAATTTGGTTCTCTAAAATGACCCTAGTACAGGTACATAACCAAAGAAGAAAAAGGGGCAAAAAATGGAAATTGCTTATTTCATTTTATCTTCCCTTTCCAAGCGACAAAAAGTTTCGCCAAAAATTTTCAATCAATGGCAGTATTTCAAAACCAGTAGCTAAAATTAAGAAGATGACACAAATAATGATGATATTTTGATGCGGTTATTAAAATTAATTTTCGTAAACCCTACAACGACAGGCTAAAATTCCCATCATTATTTGTTGGTTTTTTTTAACCATTATTAACGATAGAATTCCTAACATTTGGTTGCTGAAAGCAAAGTTTGTTGTAGTGGCGCAAGCTATTGGAGCTCCACTTACAAACACATATGGCTTTATTGTTTCGTTTAGTAAACTAAATAAATTCAAGCTATCTTTAGAGAATTTCGGTTGCGAGAAAAATAAATAGACTCATTTTAGCATATAATAAGATTTTAAGTTAAAATCAATTAAAATTAGGTAGGGGAGGAAAAGATTTTTTAACTAATCAAATTGCAATATTTAAAAAATTATAATTTGATTGATTATGAAACTCTCCCCTCCCCTCCTCTCAATCTAAACATGTTATAAAAATAATAAGAGTTTTTGATTTATCAAAGTTTATTATTCTCTTGCCTTCATTAAAGTGGGAGAGTCTTCTCCTCCATTACTTTAAAACCAAACATACAATTAATGTTCGACCTTTTCAAAATTAGTTGGTGTTTGTTAGAACTTATAAGTAATTGTTGCTTTTTTTTTTGTTTTTGTTTTTTTTTTTTTATCAGCAAAGATAAATTTTATTATATGGAGCACAAGGATAAGTAATTGCTGCTTAATAATACTTTTTCCCTCTAGAGTGTAAAATTTTGCTTAATAATAAAACCTGCTCTATTTTAATGGTATCTAAAATTTGACTATGATTATAGCCACCATTAAATGTGTTAAGGCTACCAAAACTATCAAATTTTGTTCTAATTTTACTGTTTAAATAAGTTGATAATTAATAAAATAGTTAACATTTATTACTTAATATATTGAAATCAATTTATAAACAGATGTTTCTAAATGTCATAACTAACAGAAATTAAAGAAGCTGAAAGAATTTTTGAAAGGTTGGAACCGAGATGTATTTGGGGATATGGAAGCTCAATACGAAAAGGCGGTTAAAAAGGTTGAGCACGTTGATTTGAAAAATGAAGATTTTGATCTGGAGGATTTTGAGATTCTTCAAAGACAAGAAGGATTTCAGAATATATGGGACATTTTGAGGAAGAGAGAAGTGATATGGAAACAGAAATCAAGAAGTAATTGGGTACGTCAGGGTGATGCAAACACGCGATTCTTTCATAGAATAGCAAAAGGTAGAAAGGCCCAAAATCATATAACAGGTTTATGGTGTGATGGTGTTTGGGTGGAAGAGCCAACACAAGTTAAGAAGGAGGTGGTTAATTATTTTAGCAAGCTTTTCCAAGGAGATAAGTGGAATAGACCAAAGCCATATGGGGTGAACTTCAAGCATATTTCTACAGAGGACAAACAGTGGCTTGAACGACCATTCTCCATTGAGGAAATTGAAGAAGGTTTGAGAAGTTGTGAAGGTTCTAAAGCTCCGGGCCCCGACGGGTATAATTTTTCTTTCCTTAAATTTGCATGGAATAGTTTAAAGGAGGATTTTATGAGCTTTTTTGAAGAGTTTCATCGCAATGGAAGATTGGTTAGTGGGTTGAACTCATCATTTATAACTTTAATTCCTAAAAAGCTTAATGTTGGGAATTTAAAGGATTATAGACCCATTAGTTTGATCGGGTGTGTGTATAAGCTATTATCAAAGGTGTTGGCTAATAGACTTAAAGTTGTATTGCAGGGGATTATCAGTGAAACTCAATCAGCTTTCTTGGGAGGACGTCAATTAGTTGATGGAGTGCTGGTGTTGAACGAGGTGGTGGAGGAAGTTAAGAGAAGGAAACAGTCGGCGTTTATCTTTAAAGCTGATTTTGCAAAGGCATATGATTGTGTGGATTGGACATTCTTGGAATGGATGATGGACAGATTGGGCTTTGGAATCAAGTGGAGAGGTTGGATCATGGAGTGCTTGTCGACTACTAGAATGTCAGTACTAATTAATGGCAGCCCAACAGAGGAGTTCAAAGAGGGAAAAGGACTTCGACAAGGTGACCCGCTATCTCCTTTTTTATTCTTGATGATTGGAGAGGGATTAAATGGTTTGATTCAAAAAGCAGTGACGGAGGGTTTGTTGAGAGGTATAGAGGTTGGCAGGAGGGGATTGGTTATTTCCTTACTTCAATTTGCTGATGACACAATCATCATGGGAAAGGCTGACACAGAATATTTTTATGGTCAAAACAATTCTGCGTTGGTTCGAATTGATGTCGGGTCTGCAAATTAACTTTAGTAAGAGTAACATTTATGGATATAATGTGCCAGTGAGATGGGTTGAAAGATCAGCTAGCATGATGCGTTGTGGTGTTGGGAAATCACAGTTTAGTTATTTGGGAATGCCTGTCGATGGAAATCCTGGAAATAAGAAGTTATGGGAGCTGCTAGTAAATAAATTTCGAGCCAAACTTGCTGTCTGGAAAGCTGCTTCGCTATCCTTTGGTGGCCGCCTCACTCTGCTCAACTCGGTACTTTCTGCTTTACCCACTTTTTATATGTCATTGTTCTTAATTCCAAATTTTGTGATGACTGAATTGATTAGTATACAGAGAAATTTTTTATGGGGAGGGGTAGAGGGATAGAGGAAGATATCATGGGTGAAATGGGATAAGGTGTGTGGGAGTAAGATAAAAGGGGGATTAGGGGTAACGGACCTGCGTAGGAAGAATTGGGCTTTGCTAGGGAAATGGTGGTATAGATTTGGAGAGGATGTAGAGAGCTTATGGAAACGGATAGTATCGGAGAAATACTATGGGGGCAAGAGGGAGAAGGTGGACATTACAGCAGTTGGGAATTGGAGAACATCCAGAATTTGGAGAGATATTATTAGTGTAGGGGGTCATTCTAGGAGGCTAAAAAATATGTTGGTGGAGGGGTTTAGGTGGGAAGTGGGAGAAGGGAAACGGGTAGGCTTTTGGAGAGAATTGTGGGTCGGGTATAAATATTTAAGGGATTTATGCCCAAGGTTGTATGAATTATCTAAGAATAAGTTGGGTAATATTAGTGATATGGGGGTATGGGAGGGGGAAAAATGGAGT